GAATTGTTTGTCTCCATAAGCTCAATTGCAATTCCTTCACCATTGCCTTGCTCTTCATAACAAATCGCTTCACTACAAGATCTCATTTTTCATCATAGATTGGACAATCTATGAGATCTTGTTCTTCACTGTGGACTGGTTCGTCATCAAAAAACGAATCATCCATAGGACCTTACCAAAGATTAGACTTCTTATAGGATTCAGGAAGAGTGATTCAAACTAAAAACCTGAAAACATACTTCGATCCTCAAACACAATGAGATTATCTCTTAGCTAGTTATGAAGTGAAATAATTTTTGATACTTGAACCATCACTACGATTGGATTTGGATATGCCATAATCATGAATGCCTAAATGTCGATTAGAGCGGGTCGGTTACACCTCGTGCACCACTTCTTCGAAACTCCTTTAATTCGAATCATAGTTAAGGGACCCTTGTGGGTAGGGTGACGATCCCGGTTCGGAATTTCGATCCCACGGTTCTTGCAACGGATCTTGTAAGGACCCCGGTTTTCAAATTTGGGATCTCGCTCCCAAAAAAAGGGGACCATGTTCCATCCATCAGTGGAATCCAGGTCCATTTCGAAATAGATCCCCACTCTTATCAACCATGGTCTAAGGTTGTGATACATTAAAATCTTGGGTTCCATGTTTGTGGGATCTACTTTCATTAACCGATGATAACAGGTTAGAGATTTCCATTGTCTCAAGTTCCCATTATTTAGGAATCATAAGTTCCATGATAAAATTCAATCCCTTTTTTGTAATACTCTTTCAGCAATACAGTGTTAACTTTTATCAAAAGAAAAAATCCAATCCCTTTTTCTCAGAGCACGAAGGTCCATTATTTTAGATTCTTAATTTGAACTAGGCATAGTCTAGAGCGACCCATTGTTTTATTAAGTCTTATTGTGTAAGCCATCCCTCTTAGTTGTGAGAATATATGTTTCATTTAAAATGTTATATTTATGATGTCCTATTATTTTAGATTCTTAAATCACAATGATGAATCCTCTTAGTTCTGAGATGTGAATATATGCTTTTATTTCAAGCTTTAAAAAGTTTCTTTTACATATGAGAGAGAGAGAGAGGGAGAGAGTAGTTCATCTTGTCCTCTAGCTCCTTAGGAGGGCCAACTTATGAGAAACAATGGAAGTAGAGGAGACTACATTCCAAGAAGATAACCCTTGAGTGGTAGGATTTTGAGTTTCTAGGGGCTTCGCGGGAATGGTGCGTGCCAAATGTGTGTCATGGCCTGAAGATGTAGTAGGAGGGACATGCCTTGTTAAGGGAGCACTTTGACGAGCCTCATCATCAGCTTCAAGGTGGTCTCCTAATGCTTCTAATTCCCCAGCATCATTCTCAAGGTGGTCATCATCAGAATGAAAATCCCATCCTTTGTACTTCTCTGTATAGTCTGATCGCAATCTACTTAACAACTTGTCATTGTAGTGAACATAAACCAATGACTTGGAGAGTTAAACATTTAACCTATTTCGCTTAACACTATGAGTATAACTATACATATTCCAGCACCTCTCAGCACATGACGAGTTGACACTCTGAGACAACACCTTAACAACTAGTGAATAATTCAGGAACCCACCACCATATGGATCCCACCACGAAACAAGTGACATTGTTCCTCTATTGGAAATGGATATCGGGAGTAAGAAGACTCTGACTCCTTTATTACTTACAAAATCACTTGTGTTGTCATATTCTGCCCCTCTCATTCTCGTCTGGGTAAGATGTTGATACTTCTTTATCGTGGTGCGACTTTAGCCTCTTCTCCCCACCAGGAGTTGGCATAGTTAACCATTCCCGAAAGTGATACTTAAGACTCAAAACATATTCTAAACATAGTTAAGAATCTCGATATTAGAACAGGAGGAATCCCTACTTAAATCTCGTTTCGTTAACCGAGGGTACTCATACTAGCTCTACTTGACAACCTCATTTTTATGTATAGTGGAGCTTAGATTCCCACTAGTCAAAACATCGAACTCATTGACATGGGATCTCGCTCCCTAAAACTAAGGATCCCGTTCATTGTCTTGATCATTGTACGGACACCGATCCTAACCTCAGGGAGCTTCCTCTATAAGGCGGTTCAGTGAATCCCGAACCGATCCCACTCCTGTCTCCAACAACTATGATTTGAATTGTTTTTGACGTACCTAAAATGGCAATTCCTCGATTCTCACATTTAGATCATTGAATTCCGCCCATATAACTTAGACATCGCCACTACAACTGCGTCCAGGTTAGGCTTCTTTAGCGACCATCATGCAACTTTGTAAGTGTCACAACCCTGCCCCCTGACCCCTACCATACCACACAGGAGGGCGACAGAGTGCGGGATCGTGACCGGAGGTCGCGAACACCACTCAGGTGGGAGTGAACTCAACGCATTATAAAGGAAGGAAATCAGAGCAAACCACAAAATAAAATATAACTCCCACAAGGG